CTCCCATCGCCCTACCCACGAGTATACATGTGACTTAGAACTGACCAATCAGCAGCCTCACCAAGTACCTGCGGTTTTTTTTTTTTTTTTTTTTTTTTTGTGAGACGGAGTTTCACTCTTGTTACCCAGGCTGGAGTGCAATGGCGCGATCTCGGCTCACCGCAACCTCCGCCTCCTGGGTTCAGGCAATTCTCCTGCCTCAGCCTCCTGAGTAGCTGGGATTACAGGCATGTGCCACCATGCCCAGCTGATTTTTTGTATTTTTAGTAGAGACGGGGTTTCACCATGTTGACCAGGATGGTCTCGATCTCTTGACCTCGTGATCCACCCGCTTCAGCCTCCCAAAGTACTGGGATTACAGGCGACCTGCGTTTTAACTCTCAGCAAAGAGACCCTCTTCTTCCTCCATTTATCATGTGAATATGGAGCTACTGAGGAAGCACTGTCCTCAGAATGAGGCCAATAGAGAAATCACTGGGGCAGAAAGAGAGAAGGAAATAGATTTCCAACGATATCCTTTGAGTACCTGGATGTAGCTGTGTCTGAAAGCAAAATACGTGCCTGGATTTTTCAGCTGTTCATTTAGCCAGCGGGTCCTTACTTTTACTACTTTGGTTAATGCACTAAGAAGCTGGAATTTGAGCCTAGCGTTGTCTGACTCCAAAGCCAGTGTTCTTCTGACTATACAGAAGAGCTTCCCCCCAAACTTAGCATTCACTGAGCCTGTATTTTCCTAAGGCCTGGCCTCACAAGTCCAAGTTGCAGGTTTCAAGATGCAGAACAAATCACAGTGCAGCCATGGAGTTGAGGACACTTGCAGGACTGGTCCACTGCAAATGTCTCCCCTCCCCAACAGACACACACTCTCACACACAAACATGGCTCTGAGGTTGGTGGGAAAGAAGCTCCCCTTGGCATCTGAGCCCATTCATACTCTGGTGTCTTGGGCTGTGTTGCAACCTATCCAAGCTGTGGTGGGTGGTGAGTTTGCTTGAAGGTGCCGGCCAAGATCTGTCCAGTTGTACATGTATGCTGGGACACTAAGCACTCCCAGGGGAATGGCAGGGCACCAGCTGTTGTCACAGTGTTCCTGGGAAAACATTGTTTAGTCAGCTTGGGTTGCCATAATGAAATAGCATACATTGCGTGGCTTAAACAACAAAAAATTTACTTTCTCACAGTTCTGGAGATTGGAAGTCCAAGATCAAGTTGCCAGAAGGGTGGATTTTTTTTGCAGGTGGCCACCATTTCACTGTGTGCTCACATGACCCCTTCTTGTACACTCAGAGAGTAAACAAGCTCTCTGGTGTCTCTTAAGGACACTAATCCTATTAGATCAGAGCCCTATCCTATGGCCTCATTCAACCTTAGTTTCTACTCTAAAGGCCCTATATTCAATTACAGTCATATCAGGGGTCAGGGCTTCAATGTAGGAGTTTTTGGGAAGTGAGAGGGACCCAAACATTCAATCTACAACAGAGATGCACTGGAAACTTAATCACAGGAGATGTGCAGAAACGTCAGAAAGAATATTCAGGGGAGTCTACAGGCAGCTGACGCTGCTTCACAGAGCTTAGGCTTAGGCAGTTTGCAGTGATCAAGATAGATATTTTCTGGACCTGTGCTTCTTTGCTGTCTCATGACAGGACAAACATTGGCTTTTCTTCTTTTGTTTTGCTGGCAATGTCTGTTGGGGCTTCCTGGTTTCGAGATAAATTCATGTGTTAAGGTTTGTGGTATCACAGCTGGGAAAGCTAAATTAGTTAATTGAAAAATGAAAAATAGGAAAATTAAACCAGCAATTTCTCCAAACATATTGGGCCAATTTAAAACCCAGGTTAACACTGATTTATTGTTTTAATAAGATGCCTATGTAAGGACAAATGACTGGTCTGCAACATAAATAAACATGGGAATGTGTTTATTTGGCTGCAATATCCAAGAGCAACAGGGCAAATGACTCCTTAAGTTTTTTGCATTTTTTCCCTTATCTTTAAAACCCCTGGGCCTTCAATGTTATTCTTAGTCAAGACCAGTGTCCACAAAATAATGCAAATCTTCTTAGCTCCCGCTTCACCAAAAAGGACCCATGAAGCCATCTCAGAGTTCAGATGAGGGTATGGGGCAGACACTGCCTTCCAACTCTGCAGCCAGGACAGTGCCATGGCTGGAAGAGAAAGCCTGCTCAGAAGAGGCCAAGTGGAAGGACAGCTGGACCTGCCCCCCCAAGCCCAGCACCAGCCCTAGCAGGGTTCACCCTGTCAGTACAAGGTGTCCCCACAGCGGGCTGAAGCTCCAGGAAACAGTGGCATCCCTTCCTCCTTTATGAGTCTCATTCATTTCAAGTTCAGAGAGCTTGGTCAGCTCCCCTTGGCCTCTCAAGCCGATCCTCATGCAGGGGCTTTGGGACTTCCCATTGAACATCCCGGAAGAGGTGGCCATGGGAAGCTATGTGCACTTCCATGTGATGACAAGGCCCAAGGAAAAGTGCTCAAAACTCATAGCCAAGTTCCAGTCATTACAAGGCTAACCCACAGCCTCAAAAATTACACAGTCAACCTAGATTTTGACAACACAGAAGCCAGAGACATCAGGGGTAACTCCAGGGCCTCACAAAGATGGGCAAGGACAACACCCAAGTCCCCATTCTCTCAGGAATTAGCCTCTGGGAAGTAACAGGCTCTATCTAGAAGGCGTTGAGAATTTAACTGCTCCGAATATTATATTTCTTGAGCTTGGTGATAGATACGTAGGTATTGGCTTGGTTTTTCTTATCCTTTTTTGAATGTCTTAAAAACCGCATAATACATTTAAAAAATAAAGTAACATTTAAAAAGAGAACGTTTGAGGAAGAACAGTAGGATTATCTTTTGAAACTCAATATGCTTGATGAAGTTGAAGGAGAACTGAAGAGTTATGTGTTCATAAGAAGTTCAGAGGAGAGACTTCCCATTCTTGGGCTACAAGTCTTTGCCCAGGGCAAAAGAAATCACATTTATCAGCTATTGAGTTGAATTCTAAAATAATAGCAACAAATCATTATTCTCCTTGTTTGGGCTCAATGGAATAGAAAATTCACAAGTTTTAACTTTCTGCATGAAGAGTACACTTAACACTTTCAATGCTCATTTTCATGTAGCTTTCATACACAGACCAGAGAAGAGATAAACAGCCTTTTGTCTTCACCATGGAGGGTGAAATCTAGACATATCACAGGAGGAGGCTGAGCACACCTTGGGAAGGAACAGGGGGGCTGAGGTTAGAAATGAAGGCATTTTACTCCACAAAGTCTCACTCTTCTCAAAAAGAGGCTTTATTCACTGCCCTGACAGCATGTATCAGATGTTAGATAAAATTAATTGGGAATGGGTATTTATTGTTACTGATTTGTATTTGATGGGTGTTTAGAACATTACATTATCAACAAATGGTAGAGGTAAAAAGGCTGAGGAGTATTGAGGGTTGGAAACGGTTTATGAAAAGACATCATCTCTATCATGGGGGATGTCTTGAGGGATGTGAACAAGCCCATGAAATTGATTTCCATGGAAAAGGCTTTAGATAAAGATCCAAGGAAAACTTTTACAGTTACCACAACTGTTAGTTATCTTTTGGGGAATGTTTTTAATTGAGGTGCAGCTTACATTCGATAATAAGGAGGTACATTAGTTTGTTTTCATGCTGCTGATAAAGACATACCTGAGACTGGGTAATTTATACAATGAAAAGGGTTTGTCGGACTTACAGTTCCACATGGCTGAGGAAACTTCACAATCATGGCAGAAGGTGGGGAGGAGCAAGCCATGTCTTACATGGATGGCAGCAGGCAAAGAGAGAGCTTGTGCAGGAAAACTCCCCCTTATAACAACCATCGGATCTCATGAGACTCACTATCACAAGAACAGCACAGGGAAGACCTGCCTCCATGACTCAATTACCTCCCACCAGGTCCCTTCCACAACACGTGGGAATTGAAGACGAGATTTGCGGGGGGACGTAGTCAAACCATGTCAGGAGGCCTATGTGAAACAGGTAAAGCTGAAAGGCCTTATTATATACGGTAAGCATGTACTTCAAATAATAACTTATATGTGGCTTCATTCATTGCTCCACTGGAATTGATAAATTCCTTGTGATTAGGTTGATTAAAGAGTTACTAGTTGAGTCAATAAATTGGAAAAAAAAATGAAAATATTGTTATATAAGAAGACTCATTTGCAGGATTAGAAAGAATACCGTGGACCTGTTTGATAAATGCACGGCACTAGTGCTCACCTGGAGAACTGTATCAATGACAAGTTAACAAGACAACATTTAAAACTGTAGTGTGGTGAGGTGGGAAAGAAGTTTCCAGCTCAGAACTCAGGGAGATTTGGGTGGAACTTGGATCCACCTTTTACCGGATATGTGACCCTGGGCACCAGGCTGCTCATCTGTAAGATGGTAGTAATAAATACCCACCCAGGTGGTGGTTGCAAGGGAAAATGAAGTCATGTTTATAAAATTCCAAGCTCAGGGTAGGCACATAGTAGGTACTCAGTCATAATGGTCTCTTTTTCCACCTGGGGAAGAGATGCTTTTATCTAGAGGTCTCATTTTCTCAGGAGAAGACAGCCTAGGTTTTAACCAGTTAGAGTAATAGTGAGAGAAAACAAAGGAACCGGATTCTGTCAATATTTTCTCCCCATGGTTCCAAAACCCTTTATGAGATACTTCGGGCTCTGGATTACAGATTTCAGCTGCCAGTATGCAGGGGTGTAGCATATCCAGTTGTTAAATATTGAAATGCTTCCTTACTGGCTGCTAAGTTGCCTCTGCATCCAGTCTTTTCACAACCACCCGAGCCACCTTGGAACCCCACACCTTCCCTTGATCCAGCAGCCAAAGAGTTAATGCCTGCTCACTGGGGTAGCAGGGCGGAGACTGTGCTTCCACTGCCTTTTTAGGAGCTCTGGCTCATCTTCATTCCAGTGCACTGACACCCAGGCCCTATTGGTTTCTAAGTACTTGAATTATCACCTCTGTTTCTAACCAGCTGTCTTCATAAACCTCTCCTCAGTTCCCATCTCTTTTGTGGGAGAGCAGCAAACTTGAAATCACGCTCCCCTTGGGAGGTCCCTAGACTAGAGCTGCTTGTCCTAGCTGGTGTCTTGTCTGCTCAGTTTCCCCACTTTGCTCCAGCTGCCATGAGGTCACTTTTCCCTGTAAGGTTTGTAATGTGAACCGAAGGGATATAACTGAAGTCCCGGCCTACCGGGTAGCTTTGTTTGTTATGAAGGATTCAGAACCATGAAAGAAGGGATCTTCACAGTGTGGTTTTCTGTGGGCGGGCCTGTTCTAAACACTGATTCTCTCCCAAGGGCACAGACTTGGAAGGAGCTCCCAGAGCTTATCCTGTACCCGGCCCATGCACACACAAAACCGAGCAAGTTTGGCCCCCGTTTCTCTCCAGCGCTGCCCCCGCCCGTGAGCCACCCCTTCTCTAGGGTGTTGAGTTATAGGCTCCTGAATCCATATTCACCACAAGCACTTTCTTTATTCATCCCACTGATATTTATAGAGCACTGCCGTGTCCCTGTCCTCGCTGATTTTCAAATGTAATTTGATACCATTGTGATTAATAAAATAAAAATTAATCCAAATCTTACTGAACTCCGGTGCCTTTTATCACATATTTTAAAACTCAACAGATACTAAAAGTACAACTACTATCATGTGGAAATGCTATAAAATTTGACATTAACAAGAAGTCCTCTTCCTAGAAAAGTTGGACAGCGTTGAGACTCATTTTGGAGGTGAGAAGAAGGTCATAATTTAATGACTAGTATAAGGGTAAAGAGACGTCAGAACATCCACTCACCACTCTTCTGTCGGAGGTGGGGGGGCATTATTCCAGTCAATGGGGTGTTCTTGGTTCTGCATAACTGCAAAGCAAAGAGGCATATTAGGGTAATTCTGGAATCTGAAACCTCAGGGAAGTGTGCTCACATCTAAACAGGACTTTTACAAGCAAGATCAGTGATGACTGCTGAATATGAGTATGTCATCCCCTCTGGAAGCACAGAGATCTGAAGAGGGCTGGAGGCCAATGCAATTAGATTTGCATCTTCTCTTCCTCCCTCCTCAGCCCTCTGCCCTCCTGTTCTTCCTCCTCTGGCTGGTCTTCAGAAAAGTGTTGGCAGGTAACTTCCAGCTGGGATAGCTGCCAGGTTTCTAGATGGAGGAGCTTTGCTGCAGCTGTGTTGGCAGGGAAAGAAATGGAGGAGCCAGGGTATATGAATTAAGTCCTGATTCTCCATGGTTAAGCTACAGGCCATTTTGAACACATGGGGGCAGCTGCTGGCTGCAATGCATCAGCTGTACAGTGTTTGCAACAAGTATAGTGTTGCAAACAGATTGAAATATAAGTGACCAAAATAAAGAGAATCACCATGCTAGAGCAACGTAGGGAGGGGTAACCTCCTTTGAAACAAAACCCCAACACAAATGTTTTTCTTTTAATCCCCTATTTTTTTTTATTTGCTGAGGATGCTGTAATACACCTTCAATCAAGCTGCACTATTTTCAGCAGACATCTCATAATCTTTTTCATCTAACCCCAAACTGGCACTATTCTAGGGAGTAGCCAGTTTCCAAGGGCAATATATGTCAGGTCTCTATAGAATTAAATAAAGGGAGAATTGGTAAAGCGAAGGCGACAAGGGAAATGTAGTCATGTGTGTCTCAGATCCAAAATGTATTACTCTTTTCTCAAGGAATGGGATAAGTCATGACTAAGCAACATAGTGGTGGAGGCATGCAAGGGCCAGGCCTCCAACAGACCCTCCTTCAATGTTTAAGACTCCTCAAGAGTTCACTTCTGATTCATCAAACTGATGAAAATACTAAGAATCTTTAAAATTGCTTTTGCTTCAGTACCATTGTGGTAGGCAGAATAGCACCCTCCTCTCCCAAAACATTCACATCCTGCTCCCTCGCTACCATACATGGCAAAAGACTTCACAGATGTGATTAAGGACTTTTGTTTTTTTTGAGACAGAGTCTCACTCTTGTCACCCAGGCTGGAGTGCAATGGCATGAACCTCTGCCTCCTGGGTTCAAGCGATTCTCCTGCCTCAGCCTCCTGAATAGCTGGGATCACAGGCACCTGCCACCACACCTGGCTAATTTTTTGTATTTTTAGTAGTAACAGGGTTTCACCATGTTGGCCAGGCTCCAGACTGGTCTCGAACTCCTGACCTCAGGTGATCCACCCAGCTCAGCCTCTCAAAGTGCTGGGATTACAGGTGTGAGCCACCCTACCAACCTGTGATTAAGGATTTTGACATGGGAGATTATCCTGGGTTGTCTGGGATGGGCACGATGTAGTCACAGTGGTGTTTATAAGTGAAAGAGAATGACAGGTCAATCATTGTCAGTGATGTGATGTGAGAGCAACTCGACTGGCCATTGCTGGCTGGGAAGACAGAGGAAGGCACCACAAGCCAAGGAATGCAGAGGCTTCTAGAAGATGTGAAAGGCAAGAAAACAGATGATCTCCTAGAGCCTCCAGAAGGAACACAGCCCCACTGATACCTGATGACAGCCCAGTGAGACTCATTTAGGGCTTTTGCCCACTGAAACTATAAGACAGTACACATGTGTTGTCCTAGGCCATGAAACTGGTGGTAATGTCACAGCAGCAAAAATTAATCTAATCACAATCATATCATGCCAGATTTGCAGCTGAAAAGTACTGTATTCCAGGTAGGATTAAAACCCGTCTATTCCATTTAGTAAAAGCTCTCTAACAATATTTATTAAACAAATATCTACAAAATATTCAACTTTCATAGAACTGAATTTTCTTAGTTCCTTTTCTCAAGAGGGAGGTAAGTGTCAAACTCTAATTGTATTCTATAGTTGGGTAAATATGGAGCAAGGTGTTTCTGTAAAACTTAAGGCACATAAAAAATATATAACAGACAGAAATGGATCTTTAGGTCTCGTGTGGATCACTCCAGTGAGAACTCAGCTGCTTTGTCTCACCAAGTTTTGGAAATAAGCGCATGTCTAGATAAAACTCTATTTTTCACATATCCAGTTTCCGAGATACATTAGAAATTCAGCCTTCAGAAGTAGTTAGTACATTACTTAAACTAATATCCCCAAGAACTTAAATACAGTATTATACTGGCAGAAAATGGAGCTGTGAGACTTCATTCTTATGGCTTTCACAAGAGGAAAAGAAATAAAGACAGCTTTTACTTGAATTGTTCAGGTTAAGCTATTATTTTCTAAGGTGCATTTCAATGGCCTTTTTTGGGACCAGGCGTGCATTTCATGTAAAATGATCTCTGACTTAAAAAGGTTCTGGAGTGGGAAATATATATAAGAATCATTGGCCTCTCAGCGTAACATAATAATCCAGCCTGCTACCTCACTGCACAATACAATCCTAGGTAAGGTTGCTTGGAGCATATTTTCAAGCTCTATCTCTATTGGAATTTCTATGTATGCCAATTATGGATCAGCTGCAAGTAATCCATGGTCCCCAGTGGTACCCTGTGAAGGAAATAAAAACAAGCTGGAATGGGTAGGGATCAAGACCATAGGGAAGATCCAGCTACAGCATTAGCTTCCGAGGAAGATGACCATTCCCCCAAAAGTAATGGGTTGGGAACATGGGAAGCATGGGTTCACTCCAGGATGGTTTTACTATTCACATAGCAGTATTCAAGTCTAACCGATAGATAGTATCTCTGAATGAAGGAAGTACCCCTTAGCACATGGGTAGTAGCTGCGCCTTCCAAGAAGGAATGTAATCCATACCCATCACATGGATTAAAGCAGAAGAGCTTAAAGCTAGGGTAGGAGGAAATGGGGTAAAAACATATATAGCTCTACGGGGAGAAAGGGTTAAGCAGACTGCCATGGTGGTTGCTGAACTAGGGGGCAGCTCCACGCCAAGGAAGAAAGGCGTTGATTAAGCAGGACAAAATCTCTCTGCTATATGGGTTCAGGGTTACTCAAGAGACCAGCAGTTCCTTGAGCCGCAACCAAACTTCAGACAGCTGAATTCTGTAACTCATGCATGATGGGTAAGGAACCCTGGATAAACTTCTTAGCTTGGCTCTGACTGGCTCAGGGACTGGCTGTGGCTGGTCCTTCCAGGTGAAAATCATCAGTCCTTGCAGACAGGCAGAGCCAAGGGCAGTGTGGGAGTGGCATTTCCAATAATGTTGGCTTCCTCCACGTGGATCCTAATATTTTTCAGTAAGAAGTTGCGAGAATTTGAATTTTGCATTCCTTCTCCACTCTGAAAGCTGCTCTGTTCCCATCTCATGGTTATTTAACTTTGCAATTCAGTTAAATGAGACTGAAATTTAAAATGGAAAAGTTAAAAGAAGTCTCCATCACATGTAATCCCCAGGTCTGGCCCTGCATTTGCTTAGCCCAAAAGAGTAAGGCAGACCAAGACAGATGAACCTGAGGGCATGGGAGCAAGGAAGGGAGGGGGCAAAGCGAACTCTGAACTGAATCAGAGCACATGCAAAGCAAAAGGGTAAGCAAGGTCCAGCAGAGCCGATGAACCATCGCTGTTCAGGGCTCTCTGAAGACTACTAAAGAAAACCCAGCGCTGCCGAGGAGGCCAGTGGAAATCCAGACAAGAGTCTGTTAAAGTCACAGCTCTTCTGAGACATCAAGCAGCCACCTTCCCCACTAACAGCACACACTTTCCCAGGGAGGGAGGCAGGAGAGCAGGTTGAGAGTGAGGCAGTCAACTTCTGGTGTCATTAGTGTGGAGAGACGTTTTGGTTCACTTGAAAGGTTTTAGCTTTCAGACCTGATACATTCCTAAACACAAGGAGGGCAAATTGCACACGTTAATCCACAATGGCAAAATGTATCGCAGTAGAAGTCTGCAGGGGGATTTCCTCATGGATCCCACTCCATGGGGGCTTGCGGGAAAATGGTGGAAGAATGTCTGCAAAGAGCTTGGACTTCACAGCCATGCAGCTGATTAGCAATCTTCTTGTTAACTTCTGAATGCTGTTTCACAGATTATCTTTTCTGTCCCTTCCTTCCACCCCTTAATACAGTCTTGATATGCCAGTGCTGGCAGATGGGGTCAGAAAGAGAGAGATAGATATAGAACTGGATGACCTCATTGTCAGAGTGTGAGTGGCCCTGGGGACCCACCAGGACTAAGGACTGATCTTGGACTTTGAGGACAGACAGGGCCTATGGCCCATGTAAGACCTGGTCACTGAGTTATTAAGGAACAGGCCAAAAAATAGCTCCTTCCTTTTTTTAGTTTCCCTTTTGGCTGAGCTTACATCACCCCACCTGTCAGACTAAAGTGGTATGGAGCTTTGTAAATAAAAATGCAAGTTATGAAAACACCTGCAGCGATGATCTCAGGTGGCATCTCCAGGAAACAGAATGTGAGATGGAGATTGCATGCAGGTGGTTTATCAGGGAGTGCCATCCATTGGGGAGTGAAGGAGGCCAGACTGGGCAGTGGAAGAAGCTCACCAGTGATGCAGACACAAGCAAAGATCTCAGCTTAACCATTGGGAGCTCCGAGGCTAGGCTGGCTTTGCAGAGTTGTCCTGAATTGGGATGAGGCTGATAGATCTTAACACTCCTGCGTGGTCACTCATTGAATGTTGGTGTCCAGGAGAGAAGGATGTGACCTCAGTCCAGGTGGCTTTCTTCAGGCCCATCCTGGAAAGGGACTTGGATGAGGACAGTCACCCTTTAACACAGGGAGTAGGAAGGCTTGAGTTTGCAGGATGCAATCCAGGTGGTGTGCCACTGTGTCCTCTGCAGCCCTCACTGCATGGCTCTCATTTTCTGGCTTCATACACTACATTCTGGGAGCGGTTCCCTCAAGATACTGAGGGATCTTTTTTTCTGGAAGACACTTTTAAGACAAAAG